TTCTTAGGCATTTTTTAGATTGTTTCATCAATAATTTCTGGTCACATTATATTGTGAAGAAGTATACAATTTCCACTTCATTAACTTTCTGGGATTGTCGTAGAAGTCTCAAACAGGATGAATTTGAGATTCATGCCACTTGTAGAATAGGTATGTTCCTAGATTCCCAGAAACCAAATTCAATATAGCTTATTCCATCCTATCTTATTAATTAATATATTTTCAACTTTTTTATGTCATTTATTTTTTGTTGTTTTCCACGTCTAAGAAGGAACACCTCCCACAAAATCCTTGCTGTTTGGGGCTGGGGACGTGGCTCAAGCGGTAGCGCGCTCGCCTGGAATACGTGGGGCCCGGGTTCAATCCTCAGCACCACATACCAACAAAGATGTTGTGTCCACCAAAAACTAAAAAATAAATATTAAAATTCTCTCTCTCTCTCTCTCTCTCTCAAAAAAAAAAAAAATCCTTGCTGTTTTCCAAAAGGCACTTCTCTCTCCCTCCCTCATTGGCCTCCCTTGTAGAATTCCCTCCCTGAGTGGGGCAGAGGGTAGATGGTTGGGGATGGGCCAGGGAAATCTGATGGCGTGAATTATTCTACGKATTTTCCTCTACCTCCTACCTCAAGCTTCATCCTTAATATCCTACAGACTTCTGAGTTATTATTCAGTCTGCAACTTGGATTCTCTGGACATAAAAATTAAACTTTCATCACTATCTTATGTGTCCAATAGCTTAAATCACTTATGAAATATTCAGGAGAGGGGCTGCTTTTTATTCTGMAACAAGGCATCAGTCACATGCATTGAACTGTTCTGTACTATTTAAAACATTCTCACACAAAAAGAGATGAACTAAAAGTTGATCTTTTCTTGTCCTTATTCTTTTGTAGCCATATCACATCTTCTATGGGCAAATATGTGTTTTTAGAGGTAGAAACTTCAGCTGAGAGAGAGATAAATCAAGGCAATGATACATAAATATGTGCTCCTTATCTTAAAAAAAGAAAAAGAAAGATGTGCTACATCATGTCTAGGCAATACCAAATCTATTATCTTTTGTAGTTAAATTTTATTTTCAGATCATGCTTATGGAGCTCTCTTGCAAAGCAAAAAGTCTTTCAAACMCACAGTTTTCATGAAAGACATACACTGGAAAATGCTAACTTAATATTCATCTAAAGATATGTTGCACGGCAACAAAGCATCTCCAACCACATAACAAGAGGATCTGGGGTTCTCAGGAGTGCATCTATTCACAAGAAAACTCCTTATTATYATTCCCCCATATTTCTCCAAAATTACCTCTTTGTTCTTCATTCTTTGTAAATTTTTAGGTGGTCTGCTTTCTCTCTTAAGTGGAATTATTAATGACAAAGTCATCTCCCCTCTAAACGAACAAAGTATCTGTAATACCATCTTCCTTTTCTTTTATTTGCTTTCTTAAATTTTTCACTTTTAAAGCATAGCTTTAAAAAATGAAACAACTACCTTGGGGAGCAATACTTTAAATCTCAAAACAATATCATTTAAATTTGATTCCTGCATCACTTACTTCCATGATCACTGTCTAAAGAACATCAAGAGTAGTAAACGTACTGAAAAAAACAATGTTTAGCTCACAATTTTTCCTAATGAATAGAGATGATTTAATGATAAGATCTTTGATCTCATTCAACATTTATTTATCTAGAATACCAAAAAGGAACATCTATGCCCTATTTTGACAAAACTAGAGTTTGACTTTTTTCATTTTTTCTTTTGGTACTGGGGATTGAACTCAGGGGCACCTGACCACTGAGTCACATCCCTAGCCTTATTTTGTATTTTATTTAGAGACAGGGTCTCACAGAGTTGTTTATCACCTCGCTTTTGCTGAGGTTGTCTTTGAACTCAAAATCCTTCTGCCTCAGCCTCCCAAGCTGCCGGAAGGGATTACAGGCATGCACCACCATACCTGGCTTTGTAGGACTCAATTTCATTATTTACACCATTGGTGATTTAGATTAGATGACTTTAGATCTAAGGCCTGAACTGATGCTAAAATTCTATACATTGATCATACACATTCTTTTGGGTTGGTCATGGATATAACAGAAAAGTTTACTCAGCTATTCAAATCATTCCACATGACTTGTCCTTCTGAATAGTAGAGTTTTTCTATCAACCCTTGAGGAAAATTTTATCAAGCCCTTGTGTGTATGTGAACACACCAGAATATAGATGTCTCTTTGGCCAACCATGAAAGAGCTCATTGACTGTCTCTGAACTGGCAAATTCAAGGCATGATTTGGTCTAGAAAACCTTGCATTTGTATAATGTTTTTAATTTTTCAACTTTGTTTCCTGATTCATTCCCTTAATTTTATCCTCACGAAGATTAGAGGAATAGGTATGGCATCTTATCAAAGTAGGAACTAAAATAWTCATATATAGAATTGTCCAAAGTTGTATAGTTATTTCGTTACAGAACTAAAGCTCAGATGAGTTAACTCCAACCCCATTCTAGCTACACTGATTTGCTTAGCATCTTGCTTAGCACATTCTGCCAGTTTAATTTACATTAAATCTTTTTTAAGTTTGTTCTAATTATTTATACACGACAGCAGAGTGCATTTCAATTCATTGTACACATGGAGCACAGTTTTTCATTTCTCTGGTTGTATGTGATGTAGAGTCACACCATTTGTGCAATCATACATCATAGCTAGGATAACGATGTCTGTCTCATTCCACCATCTTTGCTGTCCCCATGCCCCCTCTCCTCCCCACCTTTGCCCAATCCAAAGCTCTTTTATTCTTCCCATGATCCTCCCTCATTATGGATGGATCAGTGTCCACATATCAGAGAAAACATTTGGCCTTTGGTTTTATGGGATTGGATTACTTCGCTTAACATGGATATTCTCCAACTGCATCCAGTTACTTGCAAATGCCATAATTTTATTTTCTACAAAATTACATCTTTGAATGTCGTCTTGATGTTTTTTTTTCCTGATAACTTTCCAGAATATTTCAGAGGAGTTCATGTAACTCCTCACTGAAATTCAGTGAAAATTATCTTCACAGCAAGGGGAATGTATCTTTGCAGATGCTCTGACAGCTCCCTAGATGTTACAACCACTATGAAGAATCTAGCAGAGGCGGCTGGGGTGCGGCTGGGAGGTAGAGCGCTCGCCTCCCACCTGTGAGGCACTGGGTTCGATCCTCAGCACCACATAAAAGTAAATGAACAAAATAAAGATACTGCGTCTATATATAACTAAAGAATATTTAAAAAAAAGAATCTAGCAGAAAGGTGCACAAATTTTCCTGATTATTAGTGACTTCCTTTCCAACCTCAGAAAACCATTGAGCCTGGCTTCACATTTCATCCTGTGATCAGACTACCAGTTAGGAATTGGGAAATTCATGAGACAGTCTTTCCTAGAAAACATGAGATGTCTCTTGTAGGCAAAATTGCACCATTGCATTTCTGTTCTTTTTTTTTTTTTTTTTGAGGTCAGTACACTGAGAACATTTAAATTTAAATCCCATATTTACGACTTGCCGGACATTTAACTGTGGGCAAGTAACTTACCTGCACTGGGCCTCAGATTCCTGAGATTAAAATCAGAAAGACAATGTGATGATTCAATGAATTAACTTCTATAGAGCACCTACCAGACATGGTGTGCAGTAAGCAGACAGTTATCTTTATCTAAATTTATCATCCTATATTAAAATCTTGGAACAGCACCAGGTGCATAGTAAGTGCTCTCTAATTATGAGTATTTTAACTGTTCTCAAATTAAAAAAAAAACTAATGTTGGACATGTTACTTTTATTTAAGAAAATTATTTAGAATTGTTCCACAGTATTAATGTATTTTATGAGAGATAAAAAAAAACTTAAATTGAATTCACCTCACCACCTGAAATAAAAATTTCTGGTTGTAAAAATATATATTGCCATGATGTCATGGTCAATGTACTTGCTCAACAAAGTCCAGATCCCAGGGTAAAGTTCTATGTTTTCTCTGTCTAAATGGAGTTAAGAAGTCAGGAGGTCATATAAAATTTTCCTGGAAAAATAAATTGGTTTTACTTACATAAGCAAACAAAATTGTAAAGGCTTCTCTGAATTTAAATAAAATGATCATGCCCAACAAAAAATGTTTTGTTTCTCTTGTCCCGTACTTCAATTTGTGGCTTGACCAATAATTAACCAAAAGAAGTCACTGGTCCCGTAAACAAAAACTGCCTGGTTTTGGTTTAGGCAGACCCATTTCACAACCATCACACACACTTAAGTCAACATTTGAGAACAAGCAGGATGAAGGAAGGAGAATGTCGAACCTTTGACAATTTTAACTGAACTCTTTGTCACTGACTAGCCAGGCCACCTGGGCAAATCCCTAAATTTCTCTAGTTCCACTTCCCTCCAGCATAACATTATCGTACATAATCTCTGTAGGAAATTTACTCCATAGGGATTTACTCTTTTAGCAAATCCCATTAGCCTTACTTATTGGCATGTACCTTAGTGATCAGAGCTTGGTTTAGTAGACGTGATTTAGCATCATTATGCATTTCTAGCCTCAGCTTTTCTCTTAGTTCTTTCTTGATTTCCTTACTAATCTTGTTTTATCATCTGTAGGTCTGTTTTTAGGCAGTTTCTTTCATATTCTCTAGAACAGTTGTTCTTAAACTCTAGCCTGTATCAGAATCCCCTAATGGGCCTCCATCCCTAGAGAAACTGAATAGACCCATTTGCTTCACCACCTGAAATAAATTCTTCTGGATTTAAAAATATATATTGCTATGGTGCCATGGTCAATGAACTTGCTCAACCAAGTCCAGATCCTAGGGTAGGGCAGGGATAGGGTATACAATGGCATTTCTAACATCATCTCTTGTGGGGTTGGATGCTGCTGGTCTGGAACCATTTGAAGACCACCACCCTATAGAAGATTAACATGTTGATGAAAATCATCTGAGGGCAATTGGATGCTAAAAGTTACCTCAATGTAACGCTGAGAACAGCTGCTCTGGCCTTCCAGCTCCACATGGGTGAAGTTAATTTGTATTTGCTCTCCCTGAGGCTGCTCTATAGAGTAGATGCATTGTCTTTTGTGAGCAAAAGGCCCAGACAAATCAGGAAGGAGGATCTCGCCTTCTGGCTCGGTGTAGAGCCCTCCACACTGCAGATCCGCTGAAGAGAACAGAGAAGAGAGAAGGAAGGGTCATGTGGATGGCTTTTGTTGTGGGTCCCAGTCATTGGATCCATTAAAAAAGAAACTAGACACACACCTACACACTCCAAAAATACCCACTTAATTCATGCTGTACAGGCTTGTGCCTCTCACTATAAGATTTTCTGTTTGAAAAGTTTGCCAGATGTCCCTGCAGTGCCTAAAGAAATAAATGTACATATGCGTGATCAAACTTCCAATCCACTGTTCTTTCCTACAAATTGCTTTTCAAATACGTCARTACAAATGGAACCACCATTTGACCCAGCTATCCCACTCCTCAGTCTCTACCCAAAGAACTTAAAATAAGCATACTCTAGTAGCGCAGCCACATCAATGTTTATAGCAGCTCAATTCACAATAGCTAAATGGTGGAAGCAACTTAGACACCCTTCAGGAGAGAAATGGATAATATATATATATATATATATATATATATATATATATACACAACAGAATATATATAATTGGTATATATACACAACAGAATATTACTCAGCATTAAAAGACAATAAGATTACAGCATTTGGTGAATGAATGGAGATGGAGAATATCATGCTAACTGAAGTAAGCCAATCCCAAAAACAACAAAGGCCGAATGTTCTCTCTGAGAAGTGGATGCTGGTCGATAATGGGGGAGGACATGGGAAAAAATGGAGGAACTTTGGGAAAAGGTGAGGGAGGGGAGAAGAGGGGATATGGGGGCAGGAAAGATGGTGGAATGTGATGGACATTATTACCCTAGGTACATGTATGACTGCACATATGGTACATTCTGTACAGAGAAATGAAAAGTTGTGCTGCAATTGTGTACAATGAATCAAAATGCATTCTGCTGTCATATATACCTAATTAAAATAGATACATTTTAAATAAATAAATGCTCTGCTTCATTCCAAAGACAGGAGTTTATAATATATCGCAACAAAATAAAATACATAACCACATAAATAAAGCAGATTAAAGGAAAAATTAAAACAGCCACAGGTGGCCAGAGGGATGGTGGAGAAGCATAGAAAATAATTGTAAGGGCTATGGAAGTTATAGGAGGTCAGCTGCAGTTTCAGCTTGACCTCAAAGTAAAGGGAGAAGGGGAACCCATGAAGATATTCATCATAACTCTTCCTGATACTGAGACTTAAAAGGTATTTTTTCTAGGAATTCTCAAAAGGACACAATGATGCTGTCATGAACGTGTCTCCAGCCCTAAGAATAAAAGCAGAGAGCATTTAATTTGTTTTGTTATTAGTTTATTTTAAGGTATCAGTGCAACTGAGGACATAGTAAGTAACAATATTTCACTAGAAGTGAAACTCCAGGGGCCTAGGACACTGCAGTCCTGAACACCAGCTCTTGTACAGCTAGACTTGATCCAAGGATAAAATCAGACACAACCCCAGATAGACTCCCATTACTCACATGAACAACTTTTCTCACAACAAAATATCAAACATTAGAGAACCGAGGCTCTGAAGTACTGAATATTAGGTGCTCGTTCATCTCTGTCATGATTGTGGGTCCAAGAATTTAGGGACTAAGGAGTATTGCAGTATTAATAACAGAGCATGGGAAAGATAAAAAAAGAAGAAGAAGAAGAAGTCTGGAGCTATGGGAGAAATACAAAGTCCCTTCACTGGTCTAAGAAAGTCATCTTCAGTACCACCTTAAAATATAAAATGGCTATAAACCATAGCATCATCCTTTAAAAGTGTATGAAGTTCCCAAAGGTAGGGTACTTACAAGGTGATGTTAAGTAGGTGATATGGAAGCCTTGGTCATTAATTAGGCGGTCAGAATGGAAACGGATTCTGGCAAAGGGACCTGTCGTCTGGAGCGGTGGGACAGAGAGTGTGGTACAGAACTTCCCGAGAACAGGGTCCTGATGCAAAGGACCATCTCGGATCTGAAAAAAAAAAAAAAAAAAAATAGAGTAAATCATTAAGGTCAAAATGGCCAACTTAAAAAAACAAAGGCATTCTGTACATTACCTACAGAAAATCTTTCATTTAAAATTGATAACTCCAAGGAGTCTCCCTTTCTCCCACACAAAGAACTAACACATGGTTGGGGTTCAGTAAACAACATTTTTCCCCTGTTACCTCAGATGCCTCATCTTCTATCTAAATGTCAACACCAGGGCTAAAATTACACATAATTTGGAATTTTCTCACRATGTTACTAATGTCAGTGTTTTCTTTCCTAGATTCCTCATCCTTCCCCATCCCCAGGTATTTGCTTTTAAATGATAAAATCCCAGTGATCTAGAAGAAGAACATGAATATGTGTAAAGAAAAAAAGAGGAGAAATGCTACTGATGTCAACTGATGCACAATAGAAAAGGAAGTACAGTCTTATTGGACATGACATAGAGATGGCTTAATGAATTTAAAAAGTGCAATTTGATAGTAATTAAATACCACAATAGTGCCACTATTTTCTTAGATGTTTTTAATTGTTGGTTGTTACTACATTAGATAATTGTGTTGGCCTCTTTATGTCCTGTTGTCATTGCACAGTCTGTATTGTGTCAAACACCAAGGAGGGAATGAGCTAAAAACATATTTTTATGTGGTTAATTTCATCCATTCAGATTATTTTTTTCCATTGGCAGCAAATTTATAGGATTTTATTTTTATATTGATCTTGTTCCTTGAAAATTGTAGCTTGGTAGTAAATGAGAGACATTTCAATATTGTCCAAATGATTGATACTTTCTAATACACGCTACCTAGGAATTAACATATTGGAATTTTTAAAAGCTTCTGATTTAACTTAATGGAATTTATTGAATATGAATTTCAGATAATTCACTTTTTCCTGTCAACATTGAAAAGGTTATTTTGCTAAAATTTTCCAAAGAGAAGCAGATCTTCCAGTCATTTCTGAAGGTTTCAGATCTATATTACAACTGCYAAATTACTAATGACTTCAACTTGTGGAGACCCTTTTTGACAGCTGCATCCTTCTATCCTTTATGAATAATTCCACAGCACTCCACTCTTCCCTAATGGACTCAGAAAAGCTTATTGTCTTCTTAGCACTACTGCAAAGGGTACTGAGATTTATGGTGTCGAAAAATACACGAACAGCCTAAGAACTCAATCTTCTCCATGATCTATTCTGTCTACAAATGGAGAGTAACATTTTTGATGTACCTATACGCATAGGGCATTTAAACATAATAGCCTTTTCCCTCCTCCATATTTTAACCTTGGGAGGCAGGTGGGGCTCAGCCTGACTTCTCCCAAATAATTTTCCTTAGTTTTCAGTAAGATTTACCACTTATCAACTCATTTCAATGCAGTCCCTATTAAACTTATTTTTCTTCATGAAACACTATATTCAAGTTGTGAAATACCCTGCTGGTTTACCATGACAACGGAAGAACTGAATCTGCATTGGAGGAGACACCATTACTTAGTGTTTATTTCATTAATTCTGCTATTACCCCACCAGGGGCCTGTATTTCCAGCAAAGGACAGAGGAAGGCAAGGCAATCTATTTCCCAGATTTAAATGGAACCCAGAAGCAGCAGCAAAAAAATCCATAGAAATGAGAATAGGGACCTAGCAAGACTTAGACATTGGCTGCCTATTGAGAAAAATATCTAATTACCGCTAATGAATTGGGGYCATTCACGGGCATCAGTAAACCACAGTGCCCTGAGTCCTAACCATAATATGTTCTCTCTAAATATGATTGTTTACCTCCAGGTAATCTTTGCTACAATCATCGTGGTCCTCCAGGCTCAAGGTCCCAAAAGCAAATGTTATCAGGAGTCCAGGACTTGTTAAAACATGCCACACACAATCTCTTCCTGGGGGGTAGTTTCCAGGATACCCTGGAGACTTGATAGAACCATAAGTACCAGTCACTGTACCTCCACACTCTAAAACAAGAGGGGACAATAACTTTACATTTGTATACAAGTTATAATTCATGTAGAATTGTCACAGCCACTGCTATAAGAATCTAAACTTCATTTAAATAACTATGAGCAGTTTTGGATACCCTCATAAATTAAACAAGACCTTCAGTTTTCCAGTTTCATAAAGTTATAAATCTAGAAGTACCAACTAATAAATACATGAATCACCCATATGCTGTTCTATGCTTATAAGCCATCATACAGTAATACAATTAAAATATGGTGCTGAACCCTCAGAGGGGTGAATAATGGGAATGAAAATTCATATCTTTCACCGCTCAAGAGATTTATTTCTATATATTAACTTTGAGAAAACTGGAATTTCTATTGGTCCCTATGTGTTTCAACAATTCAGATTACTTTATATTTTAAGATAATTAAGCAACATAAAATTTTCATGTGAGAAGGTTCCTTAACACCACCTTATAGTGAAGTCATTCATTTTACAAATGAAGACATTCAAACGTGAATGGTGATTAAGCCATTGGCCCAGGAATGGAGCAAATAGGGAACTGAGCCAGACTTTGTGAAACTGACCCCACTACCACCCCTTTACACCACAGCTCCTTAACTGGCTGAGCAATGACTGGAAGAATCTTTTTTTTTATTAATACCCACATTTATTTAACAAAGAATTTGTGGTGAATTATAGTAAATGCTACTGTAAAATTAAAAAATGGAAATACTAAATAATATAGACTTCAGTAAGTATGTTAAACGAAAATGACACTTTACACATACTCAAATTATGCAACCTCTGTGGACAGCATGCCACCTTTTATCTAAGAGAAAAAAATATGATTATTTGCTTAAGTTTTTATATTGAGGGATGAATCTGAACAGTTACTTAAGGGAGGAAAGAATAGGGTGGAAGGGAGAGGGTTGGAAGTTAGACTTCTTTACATCAACCATGAGTTTTGATTTGGTTTTGGCACTATGAACAGGCTTTAAATAATYATAAAGTAAAATGTAATATAAATAAGAAAAGAAATCTCTAAAATCATAAGCAAAATGGGACCAATTTAATAACTTCGTTGAACTGACAAGTTAACTGTGAAGAGTAGAAATATGAGACTTTAAAACACTGTAATTTGACTATATGTCCCAAGTAAAATGTATCTCAAGTATAAAATAACAATGATAATATATTAGATGATTTTCARTTATGTTATTCATAATAATATCGGAACTATTATTTTTGAAAAGTTGTGGAATTAAGTATGTATATAGATAACATGTTAATGTTCTTGGGAACCAAAATTTTTAGTATATGAGAGAAGAGGTTCAATGTAAAGTGAAAATGAAACCCTATAATATCAATATTCCAATATGTTGTAAGAACACTGTGAGTACATGACCAATATGATTCTGCAACATGTATACTCAGAAAAATGAAAAATTATATCCCATCTATGTCTGACATATCAAAGTACATAAATGCATCCTACTGTAATGTATAACTAATTAAAACAAATTTAAAAATTAATTTTAAAAAACTGAAAAAAGTATTTTCTACTTCTGATTCCTGAAAGGTATAGAGACAGACTCACCTAGCAACAGTAGGCACCCCTAGCAACAAGGCACTGGGCTCTAAATATCATTTCCTATTGAAAGAGTAAAATCTCTTTAGGGCACTAGTTGGTTCTAGTCCAAGACAATAAATGTATAGGAAGGCCTGGAACATCTTTTCAAAACAGAAAGTAAACTTTCAGAGGTAATTTGACCAAAAAGCCTGAGAAACTAACTAGAAAAAATACTCACTAAAAAAATATGGAAAAATTGAACATTATTTAAAGTCAGAAAGGATTAAAGCATGTCAAATATAAGCAAAAAAATTAATTCATAGATACCAAAACAAAATAAAATGGAAAAATAATTAATTGATCATTTTAAAGAAAGCTAGGGAACTAAGTCATTAACTTGAATACCCAGGGGATAATGAAAGGATCAAGAATTTATCCTACATTTCCTATATGATATGTATGTGGAAATAACAAATAGTTGATATGGAAAAGATTTATTCCATTGGAGAACTTCAAAGACTAAATAAATAAGAAATGACAAAATTAGAATATTATTTTGTCATGAATAACTAATCTAAACAATGAAACTAAGGATTGCTAAAACCATTAGAGGAAACATAAAGAGAAGGTTTTTAATAATTTTTTTWAAATTTTTATTTTTTTGAATTTTTTTTTTAGTTGTAGGTGGACGCAATATCTCTATTTTTATGTAGTGTTGAGGATCGAACCCCAGTGCCTCACACATGTGAGGCTGGCTCTCTACCACTGATTCACAGCCCCAGCCCAAGAGAGGCTTTTTTAATAGGAAGAACAACCTGAGAAGAAATAGTCTATAAATTCAAGACTTGCTTTGATCAAAGTGATCTGTCAGTAACATAACTGCCTACCAGAAAAATCCCAACCCTTTTGAGAAGAATTTAATATAATCTCGAACCCCACGCTATACACAACAGAAATTTACCATGCCTGTGAGGAATTAGGAAAAATAGGAACTGATAATAAACAAATAAAACAGGCAATCTGAGCCAGAAACAACTCAGATATTAGAGCTACCCCACAATGACTCTCTAGTACCTATGAAGAAATTTAGAGGAAAAGATTGACAAAATAGATGCTGATGAAGAATTTCAATAGAAAATGARAATCTATCTTAAAAGAACCTAGAAATGAAAACTATAACATCTGAAATCAAGAAGTCTTTACGTGGTGAGCATTTTTAAACATCAGATTGGACATAGCAGAAGACAGGATTAAAGTACCTAAAGACATTTCAAAACAAAATAATCAAATAGCATAAAGAGTGAAAAAAATTGGAAGGGGAAGATATAGAAATATGAGAATTGTGAGACAGAGTCATAACCTTACTGCATGTGTCATTTCAATTCCAAAAGGGAAAAAGAAGAAAATGACAAAGGCAATGTTTGAATAAATATTGGCTGACAATTTTCTAAGTGAGTAAAGGAAATCAACTCAGACTCAAAACTCAAAATGACTCCCAAGCAGAATAAARACCAGGAAAAATTAACATAGAGAGCTCATAATCAAACCCCAAATTAACACCAAAAAAAGGCAAGGAAGAAAAGCAAAAAGGCAGAAACAGAGACAGGGAAAAGATATACTATACTCAGAGGAAACAACATAAAAATTATTGGTGATTCTTCAAAGAGAAATCAGGCAAGTCAGAAGACAATGAAATGCTATGTCTAAATGGCTGATAGAAAGTAAACTGTCAACCTAGAATGCTATATGTGATAATTTTCTTCAAAAACTAAAAGGAAAAAATTCATTCCCAGACCATCAAGAGCTGAGAGAATATGTCAGTGGTAGACAGTTTGCATTTGRAAGAGTGAAAGATGTTCCTTAGGTTGAAGAAAACTGATGAGATGTAAAATGTAAAATTGTCTGTTTGCAAATGACATAATGTTACATATAAAAACCTTAGAGACTAAAAAATAAATAAAAGCCACTTTAGAACCAATAATTAAATAAGGTGACAAACTATCTCAGTACAGTTTCAGGGTACAAAAATCAGTTTCATTTCTGTACAGCAACAATGAACTATCAAAAAAAGCAATTAAGAAAACAATACCGTTTATAATAGCATCCAAAAAAGTATGTGGAATGAATTTAACCAAAAATGTGAAAGATCTGTACAATAAAAATCAGAAAATATTGATAAAAGAATTGTAATAAGACACAAATACTTGGAAAGATACCTATGTTCATTGATTAGAAGAATTAATATTATCAAAATGTCCACACTATCCAAAGTGATTTACAGATTCAATGCCATTCTTATCATAATTCCAATTAAACCTAGGTGTAAGAAATAAATATTTGATAATGGAGAAGGGAGCCTGGGAGGAAAGGAGGAACTTTGGATAGGGCAAAGGGGAGGGAGGGAAAGGGAGGGGGCAGGGGGGTAGGAATGATGGTGTAATGAGATGGACATCATTATCCTAAGTACATGTATGAAGACACGAATGATGTGACTCTACTTTGTGTACAACCAGAGACATGAAAAATTGTGCTCCATTTCATCTCCTGTCATGTATAACTAATTAGAAAAAATAAATAAATAAATTGTTTTTTAAAAGAAGCATTTTAAACATTGAGAGAAAGAAAAAAATAAAATRAATACACAGAGCAAAAATTGTCAGAGCAGAAAGATACACAACTCTATAATCATAGCTTGAGATTTTACCATACTTCTTTTACGACTAGAGAAAACATCTTTCAAATCGTTAAATAAATATAATAGTTGAACAAACCTATTGACCAACTTGGCTAAGTTGACATATATAGATGACCCATATTGCACCACTGCAGAATACATATTCTTTCTTGTCTATATGAGAAGTATGCCAAAGTAGAAAATACATTAGTCCATCTAAACAAATCTCAACAAATTTCAAAAGATTGAAATGATATACTTAAAGATTAATGACCGCATTGGTCATTAAATAACACATTTTTAATAAAACCACAGTCACAGAGCAATCAAAATAAAAATGAGGAAATATTTTAAGCTGAATGCCAATGAAAACACACATGAGATACAGAAAAAAAAACAATTCTCAGAGAAAAGGCATAGCTCTAGTGCATATAATAAATGTTTTAAAGGTTGAAATTACATCAATGCTTCTAAGTAAAGAAGCTGGGAAAAATTAAAAAAGGTAATAGTAAGTACTATCCCATTCACAACAACCTAAAAAAAAATACTTAGGAATAACAAGGAGATGAAAGACCACTTTAATGAAAACTGTAGAATACTGAAGAGAGAAATTGAAAAATATCTTAAAAGATGAAAAGACTTCCCACGTTCTTGAATTGGCAGAATTAATATTGTCAAAATGGTCATATCACCAAAAGTGCATACAGATTCAGTGCAATCCCCACCAAAATGCCAATGACATTCTTCACAGAACTAGAAAAAAAACAGTTCTAAAATTCATTTGGAAGAAGAAGATATAGAATAGCCAAAGCAATCCTCAGCAAGAAGAGAAATACAGGAGGCATCACAATACCTGATCTCAAATTATACCATAGAGCTATATACTAAACAGCATGGTATTGCCATGAAAACAGACGTGAAGACCAATAGAACAGAATAGAATTCAGAGACAAATCCACAAATATAAAGTCATCTGATACTTGACAAAGGTGCCAAAAATGTACGGAGTAAAGATAGCCTTCTTAAAACTTATGGGGAAAAGATAGCCTTTTTAACAAACAGTTTTAAAAAACCCTGGATATCCATATGTAGAAGAATGAAACTAGATTCCTATCTTTCACCCTGTACAAAAGTAAACTCAAAGTGGATCAAAGACCTAAGAATTAGATTAGAGACTTTGCAACTGCTAGAAGAATACAGAGGCTCAACACTCCTGCAAACAAGCACTGACTTCCTTAACAAGAACCATAAAGCTCAAGAAATAAAACCAAGAATCAGTAAATTGAGATGGACATCAAATCAGAGAGCTTACGCACACAAAGGAAATAATTAAGAACAGGAAGAGAAACTACAGAATGAAAGATCTTTCCAGCTGCTCCTCCAACAAGGGATTAATATCCAGAATATATAAAGAACTCAAAAAAACTTATTATCAAAAAGATAACAAAATCAATAATTGGAGAAAAGAACTAAACAGACACTTCTCAGAAGAAGAAAACCAAATAGCCAGTAAATATATGAAAAAAAAAAGGTGTTCAACATCCCTAGCAATCAGGGAAATGCAATCAAAACTACTGCAATGCCATCTCACTCCAGTTAGAATAGCAGTCATCAAGAACAAAAATAATAATAAATACATTGTTGTTGGGCTTGAAATTTAGTACAATCATTTTGGAAAGCAATATGGAAACTCCTCAAAAGACTAGGAATGGAACGATAATAGGACCCAGCAGTCCCACTCCTTGGTATTTATCCTAAACACAGCATACTATGGTGATACAAGCGCATCCATATTTATAGCAGTACAATTTTACAAGAGCCAAGTTATAGAACCAGTTCAGGAGCCCATCCACAGAGGAGGGATAAAGAAAATGTGGTACATATACAAAATGGAGTGCTGCTCAGCCATAAAGAACAATAAAATTATGGCATTTGCTGATAAATCAACAGAACTGGAAAAACACCATGCTAAGTGAACTTAAGTCTGAGTCTGGTTTATATGTCATTTAGCACATAAAAGGAAAATAAAAGAAGGTGGGTAAAATGCCAACAAAACAGAAGGGAGWTCAATGGAGTAGAGGAAAAGAWTAGAGGGGGATGGAAGAGAGATAGGAAGAGGAAGGAACTGCAGAATGAAATTGGCCAAATTATGCTATGTCCATATATGAATATATCACAGTAAATTTCACCTTCATGTATATCTATAAAGTATCAGCTAAAGAAAAAACAAATAGAAGAAAGACCAGTAGAGTAGAGGAAGGGGAACATGAGGAGGGAGGAAGGGAGGGAAAGAGGAAGTCATAGGGATTAAAATAGAACAAATTGTATTCCATGCATGTATGATTATGTAAAAATGAATGCCAATATTATGTAAAACTATAATGGAATAATTAAAATCTGTGAATAAACAAATTTACATGCTAAAAATAAAGGTAACAGTAAGTTAAGGTCCCCCCMAAAAAATTAAGGGAAGAAAATTATAAAACCAAGAATAAAACTCAATGAAATAAAATTCAACAGAAAACATTGACAAAGCTAAYAGTTAGTACTTTGAAAAGATGAGTGAAATCAATCCTAGTAAGACTGATGAAGGAAAAAAAGATAGCATAAATTATCAATATCAGGAATGAATAGAGAGGACATCAAAATAGACCCTATAAACACTAAAAGATAGTGTGAAAATATTATGAAAGAGTAGATGAAATGAGTGAGTTTGAGGGGAAAAAAATTACCAAAACTGAAAAAAAAAAGTATGCACAGACATATACGTATATATAAACTAAATTTAACTCACAATTTAAAACTTCTCACACACAAGACTTCTGTCTTAACTAACTTCATGGTAAGCACTTAAGGAGGGAATATTGTCAAAATTACACAAATACCTTCAGAGAATATAAAAATTAAGAACACATTTGATTTTAAATTGTCACTATTACAACTTGACAAGGAAATTACAAGAAAGGAAAATTATTAGGCAATCTCTCTCAAATATAGGTATAAAATTTTGAAAAAGAATATATTTGCATATCATATCAGGTCATATATTAAAAGAATAACTTTCTGGGTATGGTAGTGCATACCTATAATTTCAGGAACTCATAAAGCTGATGCAGGAGGATTGAAAGTTCAAGGCTAGCTTTAGCAACTTAGCAAGGCTCTAAGCAACTTAGTGAGACCCTGTCTCAAAATAAGGAATAAAAAGGGCTAAAGAGGTAATGCCCTGGGTTCAGTCCCCAGTTCCAAAAAACAAACAAAAAACTCTTTTTCATAAGTGTGGTGAATTACATTGTGGATTTTGAACACTGAATCAACATTGCATTCTTCAAAATCCACAATGTAATTCGCCACACTTATAGAATATACCATCTCAAGAGGATCATGTGATCATTTCAATAGATTCAGAAAACCTATTTTATATCATCCAAAATCCATTTGTGATTTTAGAGAAACTCTTGGAAAGGTAAGAATAAAAGATGTGATAGTTTTAAAATGTTTATTAATTCTGATACTTCTCCCATTGAAAAGTGGGATCTGTATCTCCTCCTCTTGAATTTGAATTGGCTTGTAATTCAACCAATTAACTATGGCAGAAATAACACAATGCTATTTCAAGGATGGGCCAA